GGAATTCAAAATTTTGGCCACAACACGTTTTTCGTGTTAGAATAATATCGCAATGAGATTTTGATATAGGAGCTTTTGCCATAAAACCACCGATTTCGTATAATATCGCGGTATTGTTGAATCTGTGGAAATAATTCTCGTTTTATTTGCCGATTTTTTTGTCTTTTTTTAAAAATTGTAGATCTATTATCTAAAATATTAATTATTAAATTAAAATTAAAACAAATCAAGCCAAAAAAAGTTTAAAATTATTTTTTTATTAATTATTAAAATTCAAATTTAAAAAAAATTAAAATAGATATAAAATAATCGTCTATCCCTAGAATGCTTATTAGAACTCTTAAACTGGGAACCAATATGGTGTCTTTCCCTAATCCCACTTGTTCATACCGAAAAGAAATAGGTGTTTACTTACAATAAATATTTTTAACTTTTTTATATTTATTTTTTATGTTTTCAAATATACTTTTTTTGTAGAAAATCGTTGGTATGAAAAATTATCATCCGCAGAACGTGGATGATGGTCCTTGATGAAAATTCTTAACAACACTTCTGTGAGGTTTCAAAAAAGGTTTTGCCTGTGGCGCTTTTTTACTCTCTCGTCCTTTATTTTTTATTTAGAAAGTTGGCAACCCTATAGTTGTAGTACACGTCATTGTTAAGTTTTAAAGCTCATCAATATTGTTACGATGAATAGATTATATATTCTAAAAAAATCTGGGCCGGGTTTTAAATTAGTTATTAGTTAATTAGAATTATATATTTGTAATTAGTTAATTTAGTATATTATTGTTATTAAATAAATGGTGTTTAAGTGCCCGAAACAAAAAAAAAATATTAAGTGTATATGCATATAGTGGGCATATTGTTGTACTCAAGAGACCGAATTTTTTCAAACCCTGAAATCAAATTGCAGTTCCGTAGTTAAAAAAGTTAAGTTGACATATTATCAGTTAATTTGTGAAATAATTTCCACAAAAATTCGTTTTTCCCAAATAACTCATCAATCCTTGAAATTTTTTTTGATCGCATCTTGGTGAACATCCTACAAGGCGCAAATTTGCCCAACTGTACCACGAATTTGTAGCAGCATATATATCTAATTCTAATTATAACAATAGCAAATTGATAGTAGGTAATATTTTATATCAAAAAGTAACTTTATATAAACTTTTGAAGCAAGTATAGGTATAGAATCAAAAATTTAATAGCCCTATTTAGAATAAATACATTCTTAAAGTCACTTTCTCAACAATTCCGAGATTATAAATATGCAAATGTCACGCAATCCACTCCCGATTTTTAAAATAACTCCTAATAAAACTATTTCAACACATTTTCTAAATAAAATTTGGTACAATTTTAGAATAAATTCTAAATATCAGATATTCGATAGATGTCTTGTGTAATGACATTATCGCTTTTATTTTTGAATAATATCACTATAGCTGATATTATTATTCATGATACCTGTCCACTTTGCTGTGCACAAAAATTTGGGACAATATATTTCTTTTTTTTATATTTCTTGTATACGTGCATACGCATAGGGCTCAATCCAAACACTAAACATATAAAATAAAAGAAGTGGGAAATATACCTAATAGTAGGTGTTCTCCATCAGGGTTGCCACCCGTCCCGATTTTGATCCAAAAGTCCAGCGTCCCCATGAAAAGCCCTAATGTCCCGATTTTTATTTGTTTAATAGCCACATTTTTATTAAACAATAAAATTGTAATTTCTTGAATTTAAAAACTGTTCTTTTCCACGAATTAATTAAAATCTTAGAAATTTTAGAATTAAAAGAAGTAGATCATGAATATTCGATAATAAAAACTTGCGTAAAGGAAATTTGCCAACAAGGATATAAAAATTATAGATAAAAAAATAAAGTATTTTTAAAACTAGAGTAAATTATATGCCTTCATTGTTTAAGATTGTTATTATTTATATACTTGCACGTATGATGTTGAAGTAGACAGACGCTAGAAATAGATGTTCAGTTAAACTCGCATTAGAACGGAACTTCAAATCTCATTTAATTTTAATACAGGGTGAGTTTCCTACGATGTTCTCTATGGACATCTCGTTAAATGGGGAAGGAATTGCAGTTTTGTGGGGTCATAAATATGCGCCCTTCAGATTTTTGAAAAAGTTCATGGCTTACTAAATATTTCGAAAAAAAACAATTATGGCTATTTTAAAAATTGTCCCTAATTCCATTATAATCTATTTTAGACAAAAAGTGTTCAGATAAAAGTTGTAGATAATCACATTCCTAATGAGTTTGTGTTCTCAGATTTTTTCTAAAGCCTGTCATTTTTGACTTATGACACAAACATTTTTTTTTTAATGGAAACCATAGTTGGCCATGACTTCATAAAAAGCGCCATTTTTTAAGCTTTTCGGCGATATAAGCTATAATATGTTTCTTTCACAAAATTACTGAGTTATAGCCAATTCTTATCTTTCTTGAAAAATTTCACTTAGTTAGCTATGGAAACAAGTTCAATTGTCGTTGCTCTCAGAAATGTGAAATTGTCACATCCAATCTTTGTAAATTAAAATAAACAAAAATTGTAAATAAAAATTTAGAAAAACGTGTAGGATTATTGGTTCAACTTTTCTTGTCCATACAGTTTCGAGGATATGTTGACCGGTGAAAGTTTTGTTATGATTTATTACTTATAAAAAGACAAAATATATTATTAAACGGCTCTTTACAATTTGCATTACACAAACTAAAACTTTAAAAAATAATATCACTAGAAGTTATTTTAGAAAATTTTCAAAAAATCCCCAATTGTTTTGAGTACATAAATGCTTCTTTTTAAAATGAATTTCTAGCTATTCTCACAGAACGACCGGTCGACTTAATTAAACTTCTCCTGTTCCGCCTCTTCGAGTGCCTCTCTCAATTCATAAGTTCTTTTGTAAACCTTGTTGTTAACCATACCGCATAAAAAAATCTAAAATGGATAGGTCAAGTGACCGAGAAGACCCATGCAATTGGTCCACTTCTTTCTATCCCATAGAGTCTACATAATTATGATATAAATAATTTTTAACATTTCTTTCATTGTGTGTGTGGGGGGGGGGTGTCATAATGAAAGTCATGTTGGAACCACTCTATTAATGCGCGAGTATTAATAAATTTAACTTTTCTAACATGTCTTGAAAACCTTTCTCTAAAAAACGTAAGTAACGTTCACCGGTCAACGTATCCTCGAAACTGTATGGCCAAGAAAAGTTGAACCTATAATCCTACACGCTTTTCTTCATTTGAAAAACTCTTATTTACAGTGTTTGTTTATTTTAATTTACGAAGATTGAATGTGTCAATTTCATATTTCTCGAGCAACGACGATTGAACTTGTTTCCATGCATGGCTAACTAAGTGAAATTCGTCAAGAAAGATAAGAATTGGCTATAACTCAGTAATTTTGTGAAAGAAACATATTATAGCTTATATCGCTGAAAAGCTTAAAAAATGGCGCTTTTTATGAAGTCATGGCCAACTATGGTTTTCATTAAAAAAAAACATATGTTTGTGTCATAAGTCACAAATGACAAGCTTTAGAAAAAATCGGAGAACACAAACTCATTAGGAATGTGATTATCTACAACTTTTATCTGAACACTTTTTGTCTAAAATAGATTAAAATGGAATTAGGGACAATTTTTAAAATAGCCAAAATTTTTTTTTTTTCGAAATATCTAGTAAGCCATGAACTTATTTAGGACCCAATAAAACTGCAATTCTTTCTCCATTTAACTGACTCTCTATCTCCAGTAGTTTCCGAGATACCCATAGAGAACATCGTAAGAAACTCACCCTGTATATCGCTTATAAGAATTTTTGGATTTTATTAAAAATGACAAGGCTCTTATTATTACAGCAACAAAAAAATAAAAAATATTCAATACAGTCGGGGGTTGGAGCCTTTGGTTTTACAACAACAAAATAAAACACTAATTCACCAAATACTTTGCCAATACACCAAAACACTTTGCTTTTAACACTGGACGCTCGTTTCGCTATTCATACATTTGCTATAACAGCTATAACCACCAGTTTTCATCATTTGCTGACGATGCTAAGCTGGTTAACCAAGTGTTTAATGGAAATTAGCGCACTTGTAGGGGTTAAGGCCTTTTTATGCTTGTGTATACTAAGTATGTTATATTTTAAAGTGTTCTGGTGTATTGTGAGGAATTATGGTTTTATTTTGCCAAAAAATGTTCATATAAAAATAATTAAATAAAACTATACAGCTGAAACTTTTGATTTTCTTTAGGTTTTGTTCTAGTTGTTTTAGATTTAATTCATTCAACTTTTCATTTTTTATTTTTACATAATTATTTATAAATTTCGGATAAAAAGACATAAAAGATTGTTTCAAAATCCGATGGGCACATAAAATTTTACATTTAAATACAAAAGGTGTCAACCCTATAGTGTTCTCCAAATAAAATTACACTCAATTTTGGAATAGAATCTCAATATTACCCCAATATATGTCTTGTATAATAATGACGCTTTTCAGCTAATATTCATCACTATGCCAGACAGCATCAAACAAAAAAAACACCTAGATCTCCAAAGAAACAAGTAGTCACATGCGCACCTTGTACCTCTCCTCACACACGTCCACCAAAAAAAAACACAATACATATAAAATAAAGACTATATACGAAGCGAGAGGGAAGGGGTAAACGCCTAAAGTATAGCAGCATAGATATATACGCGCATATACTTCGATTTCTGGGAAAAAAAGAAAATATATTCGAGGCACAGCAGAAGCAATCTTCTATTGGTCCGAGCCGTCCGACTTCCAATCCGTCTTGCAACGAGCGCGACAAAGACGGACAGAGCGAGAACACGGAATAGATGGCGCCACCTCGCAATACGGTGGGCGGAGCCAACGGACTGAGAGACAGAGACGGCCGATAAGTGTGTGTAAGTTGCAGCGAAGAGTTGGGAATGACATTCAGTATAGGGAAGTCGTTTCTCTTGGTAGCACGTGACTAGGGTTGAGAGACGGAGTTCAAAACGATAGAACGACGCGCCGAAAGTGTATATTTCGCGCGTGATATACATATATACAAAGAAAAAACTGTGTAATATACGTTGTTTTTCAGTGACAGTGTTTTCTAGTGACTTTTTTGAACTGTACAGTGACAATAAAATGAGGACTTACAGTGCGAAAATCATTCTTCATCCAGATGACTCTTCTTCGTAATATATATTTATATACATCTTGTCAGGATGATATTATGAAAGAAACCAAGACAATTTCCGTTGCAATATCTTCCAGTTTTTTTTTCTGACTGACCTAACGAAACCAAACTGGCAGAATTAGAAGAAAGGTTGGTCTTGATGCAGCCGACAACTGCTGCAAACGTGCCTCCGAGTGGTGGTGAGATGGATTTGCAGGCGATGCAGAGTATGGAGTGGTTGTTCAAGAAAGAGAGGATTTATCTTTTGGCACAATTCTGGCAACAGGTTAGTTCTTGTACTTTACAGAATTGAATTTGGCAAGAGAGGATAGAACGGTCAAAAAAGTTCAAGATTCGAATCGATATATATCCAAATCTCGAGATTTGTGATTTTGGATGACAAATTGGATGTTGTAATTAATCCCATTTTAAAACCTCGAAATTAGTGATTTCAGAAGTTGCGTCATTGCGTAGAAGTTTATTCCTCTAATTTTAGAGAGTAAAATTAGTGGTAGTAATTTTCAGTTAATAGAAAAATTTAACAAACTTTTAACTTTTGCCAATTATACTTCAAAATTTGTAAGTAATGTCATTTTGGCCTTTGATTCGTTGACCGTCAAGCGAAATTGTGGTGAGAAATGAAAAGTTTATTGTTTGATGGGCTGGCTAGCTGGGCTGATAAGCACTTCGCTATGCCTAAAAATTTGGAACGATATAACTATTATTTCTTCGTAAATCTTGCAATGTTGGTATACAGTGTGAGCATTTCAAGTGATATCAAACACTGAACTTAAACAAAATACTTGAACATGTCAGTTATTATTTTAAGTTGCAGAAAGCAGATATTTCTACATAAATGTTTCTAAAAAGAGGATCGGGGAATAAAATGCCAGATTTGGAAAAAGCTCCTTCTAAAAATCGTATGTACGTCTTATGATTGATGAATCTCCGGCTTAACATTTGGTAACCAATAATGCCCGCCTAAACGTTGAAGTCACTTCTCTGGCCTTTGAGTATAGTCCTCCCTCATTTAATGTTTGCTTTGACTGTCCAATAACCTGTCCATTCAATGTTGAATTTACCTGTCCATTCAATGTTGAAGTTGAATTGTCAGAAAAAAGTATGTTCTTTGGGTTCACGATAATAGTCAAGTAGGTAGATGCATCATTTGCTCACAAAACTGTATTCTCCTATAGTGATCACCTTCAATTCATTCTTGTACAATCTGCAATTTATACGGATGAAAATGTGGTGAATGCTTGACCTTTGTATTTACCTACATATTTGTAAAAATGATTTTTTTATAATTAATGTGTAATTGTTAAATAATAAAATATTTTTTTAATCGAACTGGATTTAGTTTATTATACATTGTTCAGTAAAATTAATATTGAAATGCATTCTTTTTACACGCTAGTAACAATCAAACTATCAAAACAACAATCAAAGGTATATTTTACAAAAAGTTTTTCATAATTTTCCGAAAAATGTTAAAACTATATTTTGGATGATCTATGCGATGATGGTTCTTAGTGAGCGTCTATGTCCCATAAGGAGTAACAACTATACTAATTTTCAGCTCAATCTGCTGTATAGTTTTGGAGGTAACTAAATCAGTGTTGGTAATTTTCAGTTAGTAAGTGGAAAAAATTAACAAATTTTTTAACTTTCGCCACTAGTTATACTTCAAAATTTACGAGTAATGGCATTTTGGCCTTTGGTTATCAACCGTCAAGAGAAACTGTGGTTAGAAATGAAACGTTTATTGTTTTATAAGCTGATTATTAGGCTTTTTCTTTGGATACAATTGACTACCGCAAGCTGTTGCTAGAATACTCTATTAATTCTAATTGTATTTTTCTAGACGTTGTGAATGATAAGACCTTTAATCTAATTAATTTCCCTATAGTGAAATTGACCTGTTGGAAACAACGTATTAAAAATCAAACACCTACTACACCTATAATTAAAAATGATAGAACAAACAGCAGGGATAGGTAGATTATTGACAAAAATCGTTAACACAACACGTAAATTCCACACAACACGAAAATCATTAAGCAGACATCAAAAACAGAGAAATATATTTTTAAACGTGTCATATGGTTATTTGGAAAACAACCTCCGAATCGAAAATAACCTGCAGAGATCGGCGCGAAATGACAGGGAATAATTTTATTATTTTATAGTGTTGAGTAGTCCAGAGAATTTCAATTTTGAATCATTTTTAACACTCATAGATAATACACCTGCTAATATACTTAATCATTGATTTTATTTTAAGTATATTGGAGTTTCAGTTTAACAGAATATTCGTACAAGTTTTGTAATATTGCTAGAGTAGTAAAAATTAAAATGTCATTTTAATTCATTAGTATTATAATCTGTTTTAGTAGTGAAATAACGAAATATCCAGATATTTTTTTTTGTACAATGACCAAGCCACAGATGTAGAACATTAATTATTGAAACAAATACTATAAGTTCAAAAATTATTATATTTATGTTCCTTTACAAAATATTGCTGACATATCTCCCATATTTTTCTTTTAATCTATCTAGTTTCTTCATAAATTTTCAACTAATTTACTCCAGATTTTGCCCGATACGTATCGATGTCACTAGAGTTAAGCCTGTGAGTTTGTCAGTTGGTTTAAAATAACTTTGGACTCACTAATATGACTGTAATGCATCTCTCTTGTATATATACCCTTTATTTAGCATACCTAGTTTAAATTCTTCCGTCAACGTATAGAAGATGTTTTTTGAGGCTTTCTTGAGTTATAACTAATCATACAGTTGGTGGGCTGGTGCCCAGAGTAGGAGGATTTTCTTTGTCTAATTTGTTCAGCTTCTCTGGGCATTTTTAGCCAACTTCGAATTGATGGTTACTGAGTTGAAAAAATTAGCATATCTTCTTACAGTTAATTTACAAAACTCTCCATAAAAACCCTAGTAGAATTAAAAAAAAACCAAAATAGTTCAAACAATTTTATAATATTTCTAGAAAAATCAGAAGGATATAATTTTATTCAAATGCTGAGGCCATAATATTAATGGCCCAGATAAAATCCACACAAAAAGAAAAAAACAAATAAGAAATAAGCTTCAAGAACAAATGACGAAAATCTATGTTAATGCAATTAAGTAATAACAATTGAATTGAATAAAGCGGTTAGAGCTTTTATAGTTAATTAAAAAACGAAATCCAAGATTTACATGAACATGGTTTTGTCATATTGATATTTCATGTTTAGAATAAGAAATACTATTAGAATAATATACCCATTCCTCTTTATTCTAGACACGTTGTAATCTTACTACTTATTTACTATTTATGATGTTTGGGGCTTTATGTATTTGTAAATAAGAAGTAGATGTTTCTTTGTTAGTACAGAGTACAGTGACTCATATTTTATTATAATTATTAAAGACCATAAGTAAGAAACAGGCTAAAACTTCATTCTGAACCTCGCAATTAGTGGTTTCAACTACACTTTATACTTTTAAGTTTACGATCATTCACAATGTCTAAAAAACACAATTAAAATTAATAGAATATCCTAACAACAGCTTCCAGTAGTCAGTTCTGTACACTAATGCCAAAGTAATGCCAAAAAATACGGAAGTAATACCAAATAATTTCGTACTAATACCAATAATAACACGAATAATGCCAAAAATGCCAACATCGTGTACACCAGCGGTTTACCCCTCGGAGAAAGCCTAATATTTAGCTTATAAAACAATAAACCTTTGATGTCCAACCAAGTTTTGTCTTGACGGATGATAAGGAAAGGCCAAAATGACATTCGTCGCACTTGCCATGGAATAACAGCATGACAGAGTTTTCAGACGGTCACCCGTCCATCCACTCGCATCGTCTAACGTCGCTTTACTTCGGCGAAACATACAAAAAATATTACAAAAATATGCCAAACGTTTTGAAGAAAATTTGAAAACAGAATGTCAAAAATTTATAAGAATATTTTTTTAATAAAGTTTGATTGAAATGCTCTTGAAAAACTCGAAAATATATATTTTCAGCCTACGCTACAGGAAAGATTATTTGAGTGAAAAAATCCAATATCGTTTCGGTGCCAAGCGTGTATGATGATTCACGCTTAAACCGTCTGTCTACCTAATAATATTTGATTCTATTGTTGACACCACCTACTGAAAATCAGTTTTTCCTTTCAAAAATAACATCTTGCTACAATTAATATACATATTTTTACAAATTTCCTATACAGTGCAACTCAGGTTAACTTACAAAAAAATAACCATAAGTTCCAAAATAACTATAGTTCATATCAAAAAAAACTTTTAAGGCGGAATTACATTACTGTCACGTCAAGTGAGTTCACATGCTATCACAGTAAAAGTGAGTTCAAGCAGGGGCGTAGATAGGTGTATGCTATGGGGGTGGTACTATGATTAAGTCGCAAAAAAAATCACCGTCGGAATTTTTTTGTCGAATTAAAACGACGGCGATTTTTTTGTCTTCAAAAAGATATAAAAACATAACACAAAAATTAAAAATAGATTTGTAAATAACATAAACAAAAAATGAAACAACGACGTTTATTAGTTAATTTTCTATAAACTATAAATAAAAAACTCTAAACTATCAAAAAACTATAAAACTATAAACTATAAATAAAACTACAAAACAAAATCAAGTTTTCTAGTACGCTGTTTGGAAAACCTATCAATAACAGCATCAACATTTTTTTCAATATCTTTATGGATATTGATTAGGAGTTAACCCCACTAATCTGTTCTGGTTAATAAGAACACTTTGTGTGCTTTTAATTAGGTCGAACATATTATAAACGATAAATCAACATAATTAAAAGCATACAAAGTGTTCTTATATGTCGGATATTAATTAAAAAAAATCCTTTCATAGTCAATGACTATTTCAATTCTCGTATCTCGTCAGGCGTCAGGGGGGGGTACTGTCCCCAGTACCCCCTTTATCTACGCCCTTGAGTTCAAGTGTGGTTTAAAGGAAACACATTAGTATCACGTCGTTCTTTCATATTATGCGCATTTTTATTATGAAGCGAAAGTTTAACAACTTAGGTCCTATACTCCAGAGGCGGATACAGGAATTTATTTTAGGGGGGGCCCAAATCAAAAATAATGTAATATATGCCTTTTAGGGCGTCATTTTTAACCCAAAAGGCTAATATTTAACCAAACTTACAGATTTTAGGGGGGGGCGGGCCCCATGAGCCCCCCCCTCTGTATCCGCCACTGCTATACTCTATACTTAACGTA